AGGCGGGCGGCCCCGGGGGCCCGTGGTCCCGTGCCCCGGTGGGGGCCGCAGCTGCGCAGGGTAACGCGGCCGGGGGTCCCCAGGTGTGCGCCCCCGGGATGGGGAGGGGGAAATGGGCGGCTTTAACAGGTTGCGATGGGCGTGCGGTGCGGGGCTTTCTCGGCACCCTCGGGTTTTGGCGTTGAGGTAGTCAAGAGCAGGCGTTTTATTAGCGATTTAGCACTGCTGCTATGGCAAATATTGGCTGCTTGTGCTATAAACGCTTCCTAGGAAGCCGCGACTTCAGTTGGGTGCCTGATAACGCTGGGGTATCCGGCTGCTGCCAAAAATGTCAGGACACGGAGTTGTTTATCTCCAGCCCCATTCGGGCTTTAAGATGGTTCATACACGTAAGGAAATATCAAAACTTTTCTCCCTGCTAGCAGGAAGAAAGAACGTAAAATCGCTTCGGGCATCCTTCTGGCTCTGAAGGCGGTTTAATCTTCCCAAAGTGGTATCTTGTTAGGCTGCTGGGTCAATGATACTTGCTTTAAATCGCTTTATTCATAAAGTTTTCAAAGGGCTGACGCTTCCTTGGGCCAACTTTTTAACTTTCGAATGTGGGTTGGGTTTTTTTTTTTTTGCTTTTTCATATGTGATTTATGCATAATGGAACATTATTCATTTTTATTATTTATTGAACGTGTTGTCTAAATCTGCTAAGAGTTCTTTTATCATTTTGATTTAAGGAGAGCAGGATTTCTTTTAATTTTACAAAAGTAAATCGGATTTTAGAGTTAAATAATTTTGAAGAGAGCGTTTTCAAGGCGTTTGTAAGTTTGCAAAGTGATACTTAGTCAGAAGTCCAAGAAGGGATGAGTATTTTTAGGTCTTTTGCTGTGAATTGGTTGGGGTTTTTTTTTGTTTTGTTTTGTTGGGTTTTTTTTACCTGCAAGGCATATGACATTTGCAAAAATCTGTACTGTTCAGTTAAGTACACTGTATTCTTCAAGGATTGTGCTGGAATAAACAAGCAATATTATTAGTCTTTTTTTTCTCTTTTCTTCCTACACTCTGTGTCCCTTGAATAATTGCGGTGTTCCACAACACAGAGGCCTTGTATCTTTGTGCATGCAAAGTGGTTCAACAGGATGAAACAACTAATTTGTTGTGAATACAAGAGAAAGAAATCGAATGGCAAACAACTGAAACATTAACCATTCTCAGTTGCATTTTTCCGTAGCTGTACTTCATAAGTAGGCAAGTTTCAAAACGCAATTTTTGTATTTGTACAAAACAGTCTGTGCTCAGGGCACTCTTCTTTTCTGGTTTTGAAAATATACTTAATTATAGGTGTACTCCCTGAAGTCAATGAAAGATTTCCACAGACTTGCCTGAGCTCCAAGGATTGATTCTAGCAACTTGTCCATCATGTTATACCTTCATATAAACACAACTTTCTCATGTTGCTGGGGTTTATGCTTGTAAGCTTCCAGGGGATGAGGCAGTGGAAGACCTCGCTGGACTTACGGGCTTGTTCCATCCTTCTCCTATAAGGAGAAAGATTCAATTTAGGCTTAGCGTGAACATTTGTGAAGTCTGTGTCGTAATTTTTTGGAATGTGGCTGGAAAGGCGCTCTGACTTTCATATAGCTGGTCATGTTCTTACATGCTGTATTTTCATGCCCCATTATGGAGCTGTACTTTTAAAGGGATAATATAGAAATGTTTGAGATTAAAATCCTGTGCTATGATGTATATATGTTGTTTTTACACTGGAATGGGCAGAAATTTCAGTTTTTCTCTACCTGGATCTAATAGTATCTTTTGAATCAAACTTTCATTGCTAGTCAAGTCTGAAGTGTTAAAGATGACTGATGACAAGGTTAAAGTGATTTGATTTTTGGAATGTGCAGGTATCTCCTAAGAGTCAAGAATTCTGGCTATATATATAATATTGTGCATTTGTATCTTTACATACAGGCAAAGAACAGTTCTGCAGTATCTGAGGATGGATAAAGACTTCCGCTACTACTTCCAGCACCCGTGGTCTCGCTTAGTTGTGGCTTACTTAGTGATCTTCTTTAACTTCTTAATATTTGCTGAGGACCCAGTATCTCACAGTCAGACGGAAGCCAATGTTATTGTTGTTGGTAATTGTTTCTCCTTTGTAACAAATAAATACCCTGAAGGAGGAGGCTGGAGATTTTTGAAGGTGCTTCTGTGGCTGCTTGCCATTCTCACAGGACTGATAGCTGGGAAATTTCTCTTCCATCAGCGCCTGTTTGGTAAGTTGCACGATACTGACTTACTGATAGTGGCTTTCTGACTTCTCCTTTCAGCTTTCTGCTCATTGCAATTTTGTAAGCTTTGCTATTAATCGCTTCAACTGTTTAGAGCTGTATAGAACTCAGCACATCAAAGCTTACATCATCGTGGAAATTAATGCCATGTCTACTTATGTGATCATAATTCACAATGATTTCAGTCAAAAACGCTAAAAATAGTGAAAGCTGACGTGTTTGAAATACTTGAGAGGTCAGTGATTTTCAATATTATAAAAATCCTCCTTTACATCTTCAGACCAATTTTTAGATCTTATATAATTTTCTCAGCAATTTGCAGGAAAGGCATTGTTCCTTGGGGGGGCGACACTGCATGTCTTGTCAAAAGTCACATAAGTGGAAGCAGAGGCTGTTAGTATTAGCAGAGCTGTGCTGAAGAGCTCCCACGTGAAAACGAATTCTAGAGAAGCAGGATCTGTCTGGCTCTTAGTACAAGAGCGAGGCAGTGAAATGGAAAGGTAGGAAATGGAAAAAAACATGACAGTAAATGCTTTTGTACACAAGATGTGACTAAACTGGGGAACTTACTGCACATGGACTGACTGAAAGGAATGGAATGACCCTGGATTAAATTCTGAGACTGAGAACTTAGATGTAAATATATACAGATACAAAAATATCTATTATTGTCTTAACTGAGTCATAGAAGATGTTGCCTATGAGGGCTCAAGGCTGTCTCTAAATTTCAGAGATAAGTAGAAATCATGGAAAAGATTACTTTACTCTTGCCAGCTGCACTGTTCTTTGAAACATCTGATTCTAGGTGTGTCATTGCTGGTCTAGACGGACTAGTCCTATATTCTTATACTGGTAGGACTGCAGAATGGATGGTTACTGGAACACCTCGAAGCGCATGAGCAATAGGCCATTTCCTTCGTCTGTCCCGTTCTATTAAGATAGAGAGCGAGCCACTATTGTTTCAATAAATCAAATGTAAAGCTGTTATGTCAAGGAACGAACAAGCATAGCCACATTAAGAGATTTCTCTTCATACAGATTTCTCTCGAAGCACTTACTCTGAAAAATAGTTGAGCATCTTGATGGCTATTCGGTGGACATTTTACTTTAATGTAATGGTAAATGTAAAATGTCCCCATAAAGAGGACATTTTACTTTAATTCCTGGGCTCTGGAACAAGCACTGTCACAATACTGTTTTCAATTCTGTCTTACACAATTGAGAAATGATTTTGTTAAATTTGAGAAGATTAGGGAAAACTAATGGAACTGATGACAAAATTGGAAAATAAGCCCTATAGTGAGAGGACTGGGAGGATAAAGGGAAGATTAGAGGGTGACTTGCTCAAATTTGACTTGAAGGACAGAACCTTCAGTCCAGCAAATGTATTGCAAGGTCCAGTGCTTGAAAGTGGCAAATAGCCAGCAATTTTATTTTTTTTTTTAACTGAAAGACAGTCGTCGGAAGAAGTTGTTATAGGATGCGGCTTCATCAAGACATGCAAATTTTTCTTTTTGAGAATATATTCTAGTATGACTACAAAGTATTTCTCTGCCTTCTGTCTAGGTAGGTTATTATGATAATTCCCTCTGGATTTGTAAGTGTATATCATAGATAGGACATAGCTTAACATAAATTTTAAAGTGGCTTGCATCAGCATTACTGCCAAAAGGAGAAGGTCTGCCCAGCCTTCAGTGTCTGCTGCTTCGTGCTTCTGTGCAGTTGCTCAGTGAAACAGGATAGGGAACTTACCCACATTAGCAGTACCCATCTTTTATTTCTGTGAAGATTGTATATCTGATCATCCCGATGTTCGTGGCAGCACAAAGAAGGGATCAGCATTGGGAGGAAACTAACAGGCAAGAGAGTCCTACCCCTGGTGGCAGTGCTGGCTTATGGAGATTGATGGCTATGGTCTGGGTGACCGATATGGGTGTAGATACAGTCTGATTTGAGGTTAGCTGCCACACGTTGAGTTTCATGGCAATTTAAGCCGATGTTGATCTGCCACAGTTCCACCCTCCTAACCCCAGCCACGTTGTTTTGGTGCCTCCCTCGAGACAGCGCTGCTGTTTATGAAATGGAGCAGCGAGCCAGCTCAGGCAGCTGGTCCCATGGAAAACCAGTTGCTTCTGCTGTCGTCCACAGCAGCTCCTTCAACTGATGCGATCGCTTGAGTGCCAGTGCTGAAGCGACTGTGCAGCCAAGATAGCTGGGGGCCACGGCAGCCCTACCTTGTGTTGGCTCGAGTGCTGTGGGACTGCACCCACACAGTGTGGCAGTGGAAATACGCTGTTGCTTGTGATACGCCGCGAGCAGATGGCAGTCTGTGTGACTGAAGAGCTGACTGTATTGCTGATTGATGTGGCCATCCTGGCTGTAAGCTAGCTAGTGTGGATAGCAGTCGCGTTGATGAGATGATGATGTGGGTTTACAGCTTGAGTGTATCTGCGGGTCCCCAGAAGATTTGGACAGCCCATGCCGAAATCTTTCCTGCCAGTTACTTGCCACTATTTTAATGTGTTTACTGCCTAGAAATCCTGCCTTTTATTGAGATTCTCATTGAGTATGCCCTCTGGATCTTCTGGCATCAAGCCCTTTATGAATTCACCCTTTTATTGTTTTTAATTTCCCTAGTCTGTCTTTTTAAGTAGCTGGCTGCTTCTGTCATTTTTTTCTATTCAATCTTTTTTTTTTCCCCATGTATAATTGCTTGGAACCATTCTATTTTTTAATCCTTGTTCATTTATTTATATTTCTCTCCTAAATTCTGTTTGTAGAGGAAATTGTGACCGGTTATTTCTTGTGGCCTGTGTATAACTTCCTGCAGTCAGGAAACCAAATAGCACCAGTCAATCTTCCCTTGTCAGATCTTGGCTCGCAGTGTATGATGCAAATTGAAATTGAGAAGGATTAGTCTGCAC